AGAGGAGGAGAGAGGAGGAGAGAGGAGGAGAGAGGAGGAGGAGGAGGAGTAGAAAAAAGAGGAGGAGGAGGAGGAGGAGGAGGAGGAGGAGAAGGAGGAGGAGGAGGAGAAGAAGGAGGAGGAAGAGATAATCAGTCAGATTTATAATAAGAGAAAGAGAAAGAGAAAGAGAAAAAGAGAAAGAGTAAGAGCTAGAACAAGAGTGATTGCAAGCGTAAGATCCAGAACAGTAGTCGCCACACCTCGCAAGTCTAACATACAAAAAAAGTAACACAGAATAACAATAAAACAAAAGAAAGGCTCTTCGTTAATACTGACGAGGCCTGGTATGTGCATGACTTCCCATTGCTCTTTGCCCTTCCTATGCATGACTACCTATAAATACTTCCATTAAGCTTACTTAAGATAGGCATCTGACTAAGTCTTCGATTGCCTCTAAAAAGAAGTCATGTGAAAGCAAAAATAACATCAGGTAAGGCATAAATTATAAGAAGCATTGTGCATGCAGTATGAATAACAAGAAAAAGTTGTCATTTAGATTTTGAATCAGAATTAAATTAATAAATGAATGGCAAGGAAATCCTTTTTATTTCCCTGATAATGATGCTAGATTGATATTTTTGGAAAATAATTTGATATTCACTACACAACAATGATACAGAATGTTAACAAATACAATGATTTTCCCAAAAAAGAAATTTACAGGAAATATGTATCAATGCATTATATCATTCACACAGATCAATACAACCCAGTTAGTATTCTAAGTTGATTAAGCCAAACCCATAAATTCCAATTACATTCAAAAGCACTATTAAAAAAAAAAAAAAAAAAAAAAAAAAAAAAAAAAAAAAAGCGAACACAAAAAAATACAATAATAAAATTTCAAACATTAGTCAGAAAAACACACGAACTATGCACCAAAGCTCTTACACTTGGGAACAATGACACACAAGTTCATGATTAAAAGAAAGTATTAGATAGAAAGATAAATCCCAAGCGACCCAGTAAGCTTAAAGGAGACAAAAACGACATTCTTTTGCGTCTGTGGAACAAAATAATTATTTGAAAAATAATATCTATAATAAAAATGCCATAACATTAACTCTAACATACATGTGGGAGAATGAAGGAAAGAGAAAAATAACTGATAAATTCAAAGAGGAAAAAAACGGGAGAGAAAAGATAAAATATCCTAATATCCTCAATTATGTATGCAAAGAAACAAGGCAAAACCACAATGCAGAAAATCAAGCAAGGACTACAAAAGTAAGACCACATAGCACATTCTACATAACACCACATATTACAAACTCAAACAGACAACATAGCTAAGAAACAAACCACACAATCGTGAACAAAGTACAAATTCAAGATCGTGCCGCAATAAACAAGACTCCGGCACGAGCCCATACGAACGAACGAACACACACACCTTTCAAAAGCAAAAATGCATTCAAAATACAAAAACACGGTACAAAAACATGAGGCAAAAACACATTCCAAAGTCAGGAACACACAAACACACTCCAAAAATTGAGAACACGAGAAAATAAACAAAATCAAGACCATTGAACACATGAAGGACAACCGCACTACAGGGGCAGAATTAAACCAAGAATGCAAGAATAGAACAAGCATGCATTACCATAAAGTAAAAACACAGTGAACACACATTACAAGACCAAAAGCAGAAAATCCAAGAATTCATTATAAATCACAACAACACATCACAACAGAAAGAACACATAATAAAACTTATCAACAAAAGCAAATGCAAGAACATAATACAAAGAATGGAACACATAAGAATAGTGAAAAAATATCAAATACGAATATAAATAAATAAAAAAAATCAATGCAATCCATGAACACACTGCAATATAATGAGCAAATTCTAATGGCAAGAACACAGCAAGAACACAATTGAATCAACGAGAAAATATGACCAAATAACTAAAACACACACACGGTCAAGAACACAAAGCACAAGCAAGAATACAGTACACAGCCAAGAATGAGGCGCAAACTACAATAACACTCCACAAAGGCAAAGAACAAGGGCAAGAACACTCCTCAAAGAACACAGAGCCCGGGCACTTAACACCCCAAAAGGCAAAGAACAGGAGCAAGAATACTCCCCAAAGAACAAAAAAGGGCACGAACGACCCCTAAAAGGCAAAGAACAGGAGCAAGAACACTCCCCAAAGAACACAAAAAGGGAACGAACTAAAAGGCCGAGAAAAGCGCCAGCCTCACTCACCCGACTTCCCGACCCCACCCTCTCCCAGCACCACAATCCTAAACACTTTGGTGCCATTTCTCGTCTGCTGGTGGGCGGAGGCCGAGGTGTTCTGACCCGCTGTGGGCGCCATGGTGCTCTAGCTCACCACCGACATCCTCCACGCCCTTTCCTCTCACTACAGAAGCCCTAAAGTCCGCGTCTCTGACTTCGTCTCGTTTCCATTCACCTGTAGTGTAAACTTTACTATGACTATAGACGCCAGGAAGTTGTATGGGTCTCTTGTCATGCGTAATTGTACGTGGGGTTGGATTAGTCTTGTGGGGGTTCCGGGGGGTTCAAGAGGCAAATTCGATCCTTTATAGGGGATTCGGGGTCTGTGACGTGATCATAAATAGTGGTGCTTATTGCGGCTATGCCAACCAGCTGATGTGATCTATTACATGCATATTTTCGTGTTTATTTTTTTCTCTCTCTCTCTCTCTTTGTTCTTTTATTGAGTGTTTTTTTAATTAATTGTATAATTTCGTTTTTTTTCTCTCTCTTTGTTCTTTTCTTGATTTTTTTTTTATTAAAGGCATATTTTCGCATTTTTTCTGTATTGAGTTTTTTTTTTTATTAATTAAATGCATATACTTGATTTTTTTCTCTCTCTCTTTTTGTTCCTTTCTTGAGTTTCTTTTTGTTATTTGGTAATAATGCGTGGGGGGAAAATATCGCAATAAAAATGCAATACGAAATAAAATCACAGGCATTGCTGACAGATTGTAAGAAACATATATTCTTTTAATTACTTCCCTATTATCACCCACACTCTTCCCGCGATTCCTATGACAGAAAATTATTCAATAGTATACGAAAATTACGAAGATTTCTTAAAATGGACGACACACATCATTATCATTCAATTCCGCACCTGTTCTAATTAATATTTACAGGTAACCTTTACGGAGATTTGAAATGTCCACAGTATATATATACATATATATATATATATATATATATATATATATATATATATATATATATATATATATATATTTATTTATTTATTTATTTCCGTGTATCATAGAATATTGTAGTTAATATACCATAATAGCACCAATCATGTTGATTTTTTTAAATTCATGACTTTATAAGTTATGCGACTATAAAAATTCTCTTAATGTAAGGAAGAAAGGTGAATGTAGACGCTTCTACTAATGATTATACACATGTGCTCTATGTCACCGCAAATATAAATAAATAAATGAGATTATCTATCTCTCCAGTTATCCATCTATCTGACTGCTTTTATCTATCTATCTGTGTTACTACTTAGAAAATCGTATAATCTTTCAACTTTAGCAAAACCTCCCATAAAACAATCACTTATTTATATTTAACAGACGACGATCTGAGCGCCCTTTTCAGCGGCCTTTATCAGCAAAGTTGTTAAAAATCGCATTCCAGGAAAATCCGAGGCAGAGCCAGCGGGGAACCGAGGGAGGGGCTGACCCCGCGGCCGCCAAGGTCACGTCTCCGCTGAAGGGGATAAGGATTTGTAACATATATATATATGTAAACACACACGCACACATATATATACATATATATACACACCCATACACACACACACATGTACGCGCGCGCCCGCCCGCGTACATGTGTGTGTGTGTGTGTGTGTGTGTGGGTGTTTACTTATATATATATGTGTGTGTGTGTGTGTGTGTGTGTGTGTGTGTGTGTGTGTGTGTGTAAATATATATATATATATATATATATATATATATATATATATATATATATATATATATATGTATGTATATGTGTGTGTGTGTGTGTGTGTGTGTGTGTGTGTGTGTGTGTGTGTGTGTGTGTGTGTATATACATACATACATACATACATACATACATACATATATATATCCATATATATCCACGCATATGTACGTACATAGTCATAAGAGTATATATAGGTATCTGGATACATGTGCGTATTAATATATAGAAATGCACATACTCTACCTTAGAATACATACAGCAATACTAACTCCACGCGCGCTCACGTAATACGGACGATGGCCATAAAATAACGTTTTCGTAAACATGAAAGCCTACGTATTTTATTAGAATCTTCAACAGCTGGCAAACGCGTATAATCTAAAAGTCATTTCCTGTCGAAGAATATATCTCTTGGTCTCTCTTGTTGTCTCTTTGTCTCTTTCTCTTTATCTCTCTCTCTTCGTCTCTGTCCCTGTCTCTTTCTCTCTCTGTCTCTCTCTTTCTGTTTCTCTCTCCGTCTCTCTCTTTCTGTTTCTCTCTCCGTCTCTCTCTTTCTGTTTCTCTCTCCGTCTCTGTCTCTGTCTCTTGTCTCTCTCTGTCTCTCTCTCTCTCTCTATATATATATATGTGTATATGTATCATATATATAAATATATATGTTTATATATATAGATATATATGTATATGTATATATGTATTATATATATATACATATATATATATATATATATATATATATATATATATATATATATATATACGCTGGCTAGCCTGGTGCAAAAAGGGAGCAGCTATGCATAAGACTCCCCTGCCAGCTCATAGCCTCTCCATCATCAAGACTTCTGCAGTGCCTCCTCGTGGCCACCCATGGAAACTAGGCACCTTGCGGTCCTAGGCTGAACTGTGGAGGCTCTTGGAGCAGCAGGAGGCCCTAAGGGTACGTGTGGACACACCCTGGCTTCGTACCAACTCCTGCCCCCGTGCTCCCTGGGGTTAATGGGCAGCTGTGGGGAGGCAGGCCTTACCAGTCTGCCCCCTCGAGACATTCTACTGGCAACGGACCGTATAGGCGTTAGTGCTGGGGGGAGGGCTAAAGCCCCTCCCACCCAGCAAGAACGGCAGGCTGTGGGTCCCTCTGGGTTGGCGACTGCTGGGACTCGGGGGGGGGGGGGGGGTTACCCACCATCCCATCTGGGTCCCAGCGGCCGCCAACCTGGCGTGATGCTTGTGGGGGAAAGCGCCCAGTAGCCATAGCCATCTCCAGCCGACTTCAATCCTCGGTAGTAGAGGTTACTCCAGTCGATGAACGTATAATGGTATTGAGACTGAAGCTTTCATTTGGCTTCATGTCTCTTATTGCTGTGTACGCTCCTACGGATGTATATAAACTTGAAGTGAAAGAGATGTTCTACGCCAAATTTGCATCTGTGGCAGACAGTTGTCCTCGGCGAGATATTCGTATTGTTTTGGGCGACTTCAATGCGGTATCCGGCTGTGATCGAGCTGGCTACGAGATATCTGTCGGTCCCTATGGCTCAGGAGCCGATGCTGGCAGCGAGAATAGCTTCTTTTTCCATGACTTTGCTAGGTCCCAGAAATTGAGGATCTCTGGCTCATGGTATCAGCGTTCTGACCCACACCGCTGGTGGAGGATCCTCCAGAACTGCAGGGTGTATCGAAGCACCGAGTTCTGTGGAACTGATCATAGATTAGTTGTGGCTACTCTCCGGGTCCACTTTAGAACCCCCCGTCGACCAAATGAACACCCCAGGGTGTTTCATCTGGATAGACTGAGGGAGGATGAGTGTGCCCGGGGGTTTGCTGAGGCTATTTCTGGGCGTCTCACAGCACTCGAGGGCCTGACAGACCCTGTTGTTATGTGGGATTCCTTCAAGCGGGAATCGCTTGATGCAGCTCAGGAATCCATTGGTGAACGCCCAAGAGCAAAACAGAATTCCATCTCGCAGGAGACACTGGAAGCTACAGAAGCTTGTCGTGCAGCTCGATTGTCAGGGGATCGCAATTTGCACCGTTCTCTGGCGCGTAGGACTAGGTCACTGTTGAGAAGGGATAAGGAACAGTTTATCAGAAATCTTGCAGAGGAGTTCGAAAGCCATTTCTTAGTAAATGACCTTCGTCCTGCCTACCAAGCCCTGAGAAAGCTGAACTCCAAGTCCTCCTCACAGACGACGGCAGTCCGCTCAGCAAGTGGCCAGGTAATCTCAGATCAGCGAGGATCCACCCTCCCTGACTGAAGTCAAGGGGGCGATCTCCAAGCTGAAGAGTGGTAAAGCAGCAGGAGTTTGTGGCATCCCAGCTGAATTGTTAAAGGCTGGTGGAGAACCTATGGCAAGGGGCTTGCATGCAGTCCTGTCTGCCATCTGGCAGACTGGTACCATTCCCCCTGACCTGTTGAGGGGTGTGGTCATCCCTCTCTGGAAGGGGAAAGGGGATCGGTAGGACTGCAGCAATCACCGAGGCATTACACTGCTCAGTGTACCAGGCAAGGTACTCGCGCACATCTTACTGAGACATATCAGAGACCACCTCCTGAGGCACCAAAGACAGGAGCAATCTGGGTTCACTCCTGGTAAGTCCACAATAGATCGTATCCTGGCGCTTCGAGTCATTGTAGAGCGCCGTCGTGAGTTCGGACGTGGGCTGCTCGCAGCCTACATCGACCTCAAGAAGGCGTTTGATACGGTGCATCGCGAATCACTTTGGGAAATCCTGAGACTGAGAGGAATTCCAACAAGGATTGTTGGACTAATAGCAAACCTGTATACAGGCACTGAAAGTGCTGTAAAGTGTGGTGGGGGCCTGTCGAGCTTCTTTCCTGTTAGCTCAGGCGTGAGGCAAGGCTGTGTTCTTGCACCAACACTTTTCAACACTTGCATGGATTAGATACTGGGTAGAGCTACTGTCCAAAGTCACTGTGGAGCAACTCTGGGCAATATCAAGGTTACAGACCTTGACTTTGCTGATGATGTTGCCATTCTTTCTGAATCTCTGGAAACCCTAGTGGCGGCTCTTGATGCATTCAACAATGAAGCGAAGCCCCTGGGGCTAGAGGTCTCCTGGACCAAGACCAAGATCCAGGATTTTGGGGGCCTACTAGGAGACCCTGTGCAGTCGGTACGTGCTTGCAGTGTAGTTCATGACTCTGGGCTGTCAGACCAGGAAGTCAGTAGACGGATTGGCCTGGCAGCAGGGGTCATGAAATCTCTCGACAAGAGTATTTGGAGATGCCGGTACCTGTGCAGAAGGACCAAGCTACGAGTTTTCAAGGCCCTGATACTGCCAGTTTTACTATATGGTAGTGAAACTTGGACGCTATCTTGTGCTTTGGAATCTCGTCTCGATGCCTTTTGCAACAGATTCTTGCGCCGGATCATGGGGTACAGTTGGCGGGACCATGTGTCCAACCGACAGCTACACCGTGAGACCGGTACAGGACCTGTTACTTGCACAATCCGT